AAAAAACTGGAAAACAATGTACAGTTTTTTCATTTACACGTGTAACGCGCATTTCACATACACACATACTTATATCGGCATAAATAATTATCGATGTGCGTGTACTGTAATGGTATTATATATATATACAYCTATGTATATATAATATGTTGTTCATTGTCGTTATATAGTGAGTTGCAAAATTGGACTTGGTATATTTATTTAAAATACAATTAAATTAAATTTATTGATATTAAAAATCATAATATTATGAGGTCTATTACTCGGTTGCCCTCATATAAACTAATTTCACAAATTTCAAATAAATAATATTAAGAGAAATCATTTTCAAATATGTTTTTAGAATAACACTTAACAAATACCTATTATTCGGGAACTTAGCGATTTACGTTTTTGTACCAAATGTATCTCACACGATAACAGAACTGATATATACACAACATTATTTCCGTGAATTGTATTACCTTGCTTAACTATATTACTATAGCCTATAGTCTATATACTATGATTATTGAAGGTATCACTGTGTGTGTGTATTATTCGTAAGTGATATAATATATAATATTATAATACGTTCTATTTATTTCGTTGCAGACGTTGATCCACCCGGACCACCGCAAGACTTGAAGGTGTCGTCATTGAAATGGACAAACAAGGAGTATCAGCAATGCGTGCTGTCGTGGGCACCACCCGCAGTGTCCGTGTTRCCCGTACGAAAGTATAAGGTGTTCATCAGCGTACGCGACGGACCGCACGTTTACCACAAACGGAATGTGGTCCCGGCAGTGAGTTGATATAAAATATTATTATGGTATTGCGATAGTACACCGTAACGACTTGTCGCGGTACACTTCCGARGTTTTTACCATCCAGTGGCGCATTTAGGGGAGACGAGCAGGGTCTGAGCAGCCCTCGCTGAAATTTTAAATAAAATTAAAATATTCTTTAAATTATGTATGAATGCATTATACGCAAGCCATAACCAGTGGTTGACTTGGAAATAAAGTAGTAGAGGTACTCTAGCTACTTTTAAAAAGTAGTGTCCCTAGCTTTTTAATAAAACTTACATAATCATGGCGAGGGGGGGGGGTTAAAAGTTTACATAACAATCCGTCCCATGATGAGTTCCCCTTTAAAAAAGAAGTAGGGGTACGCTAGCGTATCCAAAAAATTAGTTGAGGTTCTCAGTCCTCCCCCCCCCAAGTCAACCACTGGCCATAACCCGTATCCTTACCTATATTAAAATCATGATTTGTATGAAATATTCAAGTTTGTGATGATAGACTAAAATTTCATATAGTTTGTACATAGTTTTTCACACCACGTCTTTTATAGTAGATTCATCAAAATTATAACTATCAAAATTAGATTTATTCAGGTATATTTAAAGACCATAATATTTTAATTTGTTTAGATTTTTTATACCATTCAAGGAGTATCCTATGGTGAAAAAATACTTTTTTTTTCAAATGAGAACATATCTGATTTACTATAATTTTTCAAGCAGATAATTTTTTTCAATTTTTTGATATACTTATCTAAAAAAAAAATCGAATGAAAAATTTCTGAGTTATTAGTATATATTTTATCTAGCGTAAAGATAATATAATAGTCCTTAAAAATGGTTAAACATAATTATGAAATATATAAATACCTACTATTTACTATACCTATACTAATAAGTGTGACAAACTTATAAATGATAAAATGTTGATTGATTTATCATTAGTTGTTATATTAATTACTACAATTTTCAAATCAGCCCCGATAATCGATATTTTTCATATATATATTATATATTATCCTTATGATACCTACAGGACGAGGGGGATGAGAGGATGAGGCAGGGGATGCAGGATAAAACTAAACGGTGAAAATGTCGTGTTATGCGTCTTGGTATATTAAAATGTAGGTATAATATATAGGTCAAAGGCGGAAAAAAAATATCGTTTATTTAATAGAACAGTAGCAGGCGACCGGGATTCTTACGGAGTCGAACTTCCAGTGATTGACGTTCTGCTGTAGCTCGTCCGGCAAGTCGTCTTGGTTTTCGCTCTGTTGCGTGTTCGATTTTAACAACACCGGCACGTGGTATGAGGCCGTCTTGCACCAGTTTCCGATGCACGTGACCGACATGAGTTCCTTGGGATAGTGGTTTTGGGTCAGGTTGTAGATCTTTGGAATTTCTGTGCAATTGCAAACCTCGGACGCGACGTACCGAGGATCGCTATTGCCGCCGCGGCGCTGCTGCCATTCGTCCCGCTTCTGTTGCTGTTGCCGGTGGTGGTGGTGGTGGTGCCGTTGCTGCTGCTCGTCCTGGTACCGCCATTGCTGTCGCTCGTCCCGCTGTCGCTGTTGCTCGTCCCGCTGTCGCTGTTGCTCGTCCCGCTGCTGTATTAGGTTGACGGTGGCGTGGTGGTCGGCGGCGGTGAACCGATCGAACTCGTCGYTCGSCATTGGGTCGTACACCAGTTCCCATCTCACTTTCTTGGCCATCGATAGACATGAGACCGACACGCATGACACCAACGCCTGGAAATTTCACACGCGAAAAATATTATTCCATTAATATTAAGGTTTGGGGGAGGGGTGATTAGGTATTACATAGGTATAAGTCACAGCTAGGCGATGACGACCCGAAAGGAAGCTTACCACCTGGGAATCATCAGCCATATAGTCGACATGAAATTCACTAAATAGATTTCGATCCCGAAACTGTAAGGATAGCGGCTAGCCGGTAGTGTGGAAAATGTTGTATAAAAGAGGACKTACAATTCGAGCATGGCAATGAACCATCAACAAGGTATAGACCACCYGTTGCAAGACCACTATTATAAGTTATAACTTACTAGTTAAGTGTAAAAAGTATATATAACGTTTTGATGACCATTTTGAACAAGGGAATAACGATTTGCTACTTTTTGACTTATTTTGGGGAGAGAAAGGAATAAGMTGAATATCAACACGAAAAGAAGAAAAAAACGGTCGAACGAACAATAATCGCGATGGGGTGGGTACATTTGTAGCGTTCGAATTGGCTGGACGTTGCTATATTTGCGATCACGTCATAGTATATTATATAATATAACAATAATAATAATAATAATAATAATAACAATATCGACAATTTTTCGTTGAGTTTTATTTTATTTATCAGTTTTTGGTGTAAGAAAAGTATAGAGAACTATCCAAAACAATTAATATTATATACTAAATTATAAGTCGTATAATAACACAGAATACGTTAAATCTAAAATCGGTTTAATCTAGGTTAATTTATATTATATTTATATGAATGTACCTATATAAAATATATTTCTTGATGAAAARTTGTTTTAAGGGAAATGAGAGAGGCTAAATATATGACCCGCTTTTAAGTTATGAATCATATGATAATGTTATGTAGACTAATATAATTAACATAAGTGACATCTCAACACATTGAATTTAATGAATACTTGGTGACAAAACATCAAAAATACGACCATTAACCATTATATCATTATGAGTTTTGTTAGGAGAATGCCACCACCCACAGATATCTACCGTCATTATCCATATAATCCTACACATTATATTATTATAAAGCTGTAGGTACTAGTGTTCAGGAGTGGAGGGGAAAAATTCTTATTGTGAAAACGAAAAATAAATAATCTTATTTATATACGTTAGCTTGTTAATACACTTTTTGTGTTAATGATTCGATATAACAATAAGGGCAGAACTATAAAAAATTCATATTAATGTAACTTCAATAGTAAAATTGCAATAATATAATTATAACATTAGTTACATAGCAATATTAAAAATATTAATTAACTTCCGAAAAGTATAAATTGAGCTGATTTCACTCAATAGATGACAACATTTTTACCACGTTGACTTCTATATTTTATACTTCTTTCTAATGTTAAAGAACTCATAAAACCAACACATTCACAGTACCTAAAATGTAAATGTTATAGATAGATAAAAACATAAAATACGCAATAGTGCTTTGATTTAAGTAGGTAGATTAAGTACCTACTAAGTTACCAGGTAGAAAATTAAGAGTCGAAAAAAATTACACATATCTATTTGTTTCATTTACGCTACGTGAGTACGATTGATAGTA